AAAACACACTTTTTCACTCTAATAGCCCAGATTTTTTTCCTCACATAGCCTACCATTTAGCTGCAGAGACTCTTCTGCCTCAAGATGTAAACATAGGGAAAAAAAATTAACAGCAACTGCATAATATTCTCTCTACACACTGCTGTTGGATGGAAAATACAAAATTAAAAAAAGAAAARRAAAGAAAAGAAAGGTTCCATCTTAGATTCTCACAACCTCTTGTTCCGCAGTTCATGAATCCGACTCTGATGCTAAGGTGACAGTGTATGTAAGTAGATTTTTGTTTTCAGTGAAGGAGACCTGGGAAAAGATGGATTTATCTCTTTTTCTTCAAGAGTTATCAGATGGTACGTGCTCCTCAAAGCCCTCACTTTCTCGAACTAGAGCACGTTCCAGGATCACACGGCCTTCCTTATAACGCTGGCTGTCTTCAGTAGCAAACTCATAGATCCATCCTAGTTTGCTATTGCAGTTTTTGCAGCTCACATCTCGAACCATGTGGCGGCCAGTGAGCATGACCCGATCTTGAACTTCACTGTACTGTAGGTTAACTACCTAAGAAACATGTGAAAACAAAATTGCAAAGGCATGTAAAGTTATTTGCCAAATAAGCATGCCATATATTATGATTGGTGCAATAACAACAATTTCAGAAAACAGAAGTTGTTATTTTAGTCAAACCTACAACTTCTCTAGTTTTAGAAGTTGCTAAGTGAATATATGAAAACTGCAGTATACTGAACATCTAATGCAATCATGCATTACTACACTAGCCCAAGTCATGCTCTTTATATATGTTAGTTATATTATTTCTGTGTCATAGTGAAGTAAGTCTTGGAATTAGAGCCATGAAATACAGGTTTGGATCTAATTGTTACCAATCACTATTCAACGAGTGCAAATTAAGATAATCAATGTAAAAGAAACTATTTCACCAAGAACATGCCATCAAAGTTTGTCAAATGTGTTTCTGAAAATATATTTTATATACAAATGGGCTAGGACAGACCAAGCCTACWATAAAATCATAAACTGCAATTCAGTTTTCAAGGGAGTTCAAAGACAATGAACACAATGGAGTTCTAAGATAGATGATTCTGCAGACCCAATAATACTTTTACACTTCACTTTTTTGTAAAGGAACATATAATAAACTATTTAACTCTGGTATTATAGCATTAAAACAGCAATAGACATATTTAAACAAACAAACAAACAATGGGGCAATGTTGTATTCCATTAAAATTCAGGAAACAGGCAAACTTGCCTGCCACAGTATGTCAACACCTGTGCTGTACTATGTTAACATTAACTGATCAAATCAGTAATCTCAGAAGTAGGCAGATTGGACAAATATTTGCAAATCAGAAAAAGCCTTTAATGTTCACAGGCCCATGTAACAAACCAAATCATACTCAGGAGGACTGGTGAGCATGAGTTGGAGCAAGAGGAGCTGGTTAGATGATCCTCTTACTGCCAAGCTACAACAGTTTAGCATGGCATGGACACATCAGTGATAGATGGGGGATGAAAGTAGGCATTTTGGCTCCTCCTTCCACAGTCTATGCAGAAGTCACTAACAAATTCTTATATTGGAGACTTTCTGAAGAAATGAAGACTATCCTTCTTATAATACATTCTTTAAACTTTCAAGGTTTAAAATCTTCTAGTAATATCTCCCAGAGGTCCCATCAGAGACAAATCAATAAGCAATAATTTCTATAGATTGCGGCTCTCATTCTGTATCTTCCTGGTATCTCTAAGCTCTGAGTGGGTATTCTGGTATTGCTGTCAGATATGTGCACTGGGTCCATTTAGGAATGAAACATTTTTCACCAACCTTGTTAAAAAGAAACGCTCTACCAGTGGCACCTGTGAACCGAGTGGAGATGAGTTCTGAGCGGTTAGTCAGGATTGTGTCACAGTTTGCACAAGAAAACAGACGGGTACCACCAATATGATCAAGGAAAATTCTGCCCATTTTGATAGCTGAAGTTCTAAAAAACCTAGGAACAAATGGAAAAGAATGAGAAATGYATTATAGTAAAACACGTTACTATTTGGGGGTATCACAGAGAATCATTTATATTCATGTAATTTCTGCGCTTGCTGTGTAAAATAGCTGACCCCGAACAAAAGGATCCAAAGTTCACACACTGAACAAATAAACAGGCATATTCCAAGCTTAGAACATTTCCAAAGCAGAGGGCTTTGGAAATACACTTGTTTAGGCAAGGCCAAGGAATGGCTGGTGTAAGGGAAAAAAAAGAACTAAGTGGGAATTTCAGAAAATGAATGCTTACAAAGCACTGAYAGAGATGAAAAAAAAGTTCAGCAAAGGTGTTGAGGATACATTCTAAACATGTGCAATCGGAGAAAAGACCTGTGGAGTATGTGTGGGATGACTGGGGAAGAGCAGGAAAAAGGGCAATTTAAAAAGAAGGGGAGTCCAGTTTGAGAGCATAAGGTGAGTGGATCTGTGATCACTGGGTACATCTGTAACTATATAGGAGCRATGGCACTAACTTTAGTTAGGTCTCTGTCCCAAGTCTAGGAACACTGCACTAAGTACTTATTTCAAAATTGTTACAACTTTGGCAGGCTGTTACCACCCCCACTTCACAGATTAGCCACAGCAAGTCTAAAAAGGTTATTAACTGGCCAAAGGTGACACAATTGTTAAAAAAAAAAATCAGCTGGAGTGCCCTGCCCTACTCAAAGACAAACCTCTTTTTCCACTGCTCTCCTGGGCCTCCCCGCAAAATGGGTACCCACAATGGTTGAGGTCACGCCTGAACAGAAAAGGTAAAAGGAGATAAGAGATGCTAAGAGATGCTTTCTTTCTTATTATTATATAACTTGCTTATCCTTAAGAAATCTTACATATTCAATACATCCCCAAAGTGCTGAAACTCTCAACAGATAAAACTTGAAACAAACCTTTGAAACTAGGAAAATCAAACATCAATATTTCAAAAGTTAAGGGAGTTAATTCTGAGTTTTAAATATTTAATAATATACATCTTTAAAAGGACACGCAGAGCTGATACAGCTGCCCCTATGGTGGGGAAAAAAAATAGACTTTCTGGATTTTTAAGAAACCACTGTCATCTTAAGTTTTGGGAACATCATTATAAATTAAAAAAGCAAATTTCATTCCTTCTTAGAATCTATAAATTTCTGAACCACCAGGCAGTCCTGTCATCAGAAGTGTCACTGTTATAAACAACATTATCACTTTCCTTAATCACTAGGATATGAAAATTTAATAAGGAATAAAAATAGTGAATATAATTACTCCAAGCTTGGAACATTAAAAAAAAACCCAGCTAGTCAAAGTAAAATCAGTATATTAACAAGAGTCACAAAAACAAATTTAAGCCGGGCATGGTGGTGCACGCCTGTAATCACAGCAGCTCAGGAGACTGAGGCAGGAGGATCTTGAGTTCAAAGCCAGCCTCAGCAACTTAGCGAGGCCCTAAGCAACTCAGCAAGACCGGTCTCTAAATAAAATATAAAAAGGGGATATGGTTCAATGGTTAAGCATCATGGGTTTAATACATACAGACACACAGACACACACACACACACACACACAGATTTAAGGTGTATATAATTTTCTGATTACACTTCTGCAAAAGGAGCAACAAAAAGTAATAATACTCATTGCCTATCTTTATAGCCTTTCAAGATTCTAGCATTACTTTTTCAGGATACTTAAGAACATAATATTTGTTAAGTCAGAGCCCTGTAGGATGAACTCATTCAGTAGCCCAGGAATCCAGCAGTGAACAAAATAGACATATTTTATTTGGGCCACTCCAGTTTTTATTCTTCATTAAAAAAAATGGTGTCCTGATATTTAAGATTTAGGAAAAGAGCCTGTACTTCCGGTTCTTTTCAACCATGGAGAGATCTAKCAACATAGGGTGTCCACACAGTTATCTCCTCTAGCATCCCCGACTATACTAGAGCAACACTGCCCCTTCAGTTATCCCCTGCTGCTCATTCTCCATTCTGCTTTACACAGTTCACCTTTTTCGTCCTTGTACCAACATTTGATTTTTGACTCTCAATATAAAAGGAGCATTCAACAAACCTGTGAGCTGACTTTGGTCATGTTTCTTAACTGATCATTAAAAGAAAGGAATCAAAAGCAAGGTTTTGAGGCTCAACTGTGATAGTATAGTTCTTACATTCTACAGTATTTGTGCAGTCACTTAGCCTCCAGTTTCTGGAACTTGAGATTTTTAAAGCTAATTTTCCTTCACACTTTTAATAACATATTCATATTGTAACTTATCTCAACCATAATACAGTACTAACTATAACTTTCTGGACTGACTATGGGAGATAAGATTTTTGTGGGAAAATAAATGTCTTGAACTTCAAAAGAATTCTCTCTATACCTTCTACCTACACCATTCTATCTTTGGCTCAAAATAATACAGCTGTGACCAGCTGGTACTGGGGATAAATAGACTTAACATGCCTTGTTTTCTCTGCTTTAGTCTATTTTTACTGAATTCAATTATATATGATTCATTACCAAGACCAAAAATATCTGGGCAGAACCTTATGTTACACTATTCCTAGTTGTGGTTGCTTGCCATTTATAGAATACTATATATGTATTTAAAACTGTAAAATGTAATTTTTATTTGCCCCCTCAACAAAAAAAAAAAAAAAAGCTAGAATGCCATGGAATCCAGAAGCAAGAAAAACATGCCTTGCACCAAAGGTCTTTAGGAAGTAGAAGAGTCTCTGCATGGTCACTTGGTTCCAGGTGGTAGGCCTTAGCCTTGCCGGGTTACAAATCAACCAGTAATGACTCATTAATCAAACTCTCAAGAAGCTGACATCAATTAGAATTMCACTGCTATATCTGAATGTTTGTTCCCTGTAAAATCTGTATGTTGAAATCTAAGCACCAATGTGATGGAATTTGAGGATGTTTAGGTCATGAAGGCAGAACCCTTGTGAATGGTGTTAGCAGCCTTATAAAGAGGTCCAGGAAAACTGCCTTGTCCCTTCCCACTATGTGAGGACTTGGCTAGAAGTTACCAGAAATCAACTAGGCAACAGGCCCCCACCAGACACCAAATCTGCTGGTCCCTTGATCCTGGACTTCCACTTCCCAGGCTCCAGAACTGTAAGAAATTTCGTTATTGGGTAAGTCACCTAGTTTGTGGTATTTGGTTACAGCAGCCTGAACAGACTAAGGAGTAGGGTCATTAAAAAGTTAACATTCAACACTTGAATCAGGCTTTTCTGGGCCTGGATGATATACTGAACTCTGCTATAAATCTAATCAATTATTTGATATCTCCACTGTACAGGGCATGGCACTTGGTATGTTACAAGCCACAATTAATTCTGACATTTCTTAAAGTTGATACTTATTTCCCTACTTTTACAGATAAAGGAAAAAACCCAAAATTGACATTACTTCTGAAAACACTTTTGGATTTCCTCCTTTCCCCACATAACTGTCTTCATTTAAACTCTGATCCTATCTAGATAAAATTTCAAGGTCAAGTGTTTAACATACATTCACAGATGCTACTACATTCATGCTGAACTAGTGCTACCGAATAAAGTCAGAGGCATGTGCTTCAGTCACCCTTTTCTCAAAGCTCAGAGATCACTCCCCATAAACTTTGAAACTTTTTCTGATGGGATAGGATATTGGGCTGGGGATGTAGCTCAGCAACAGATTATCTGCCTAACATGCAAGAGGCCCTGGGTTTGATCACTAGCCCCACAAAAAAGCACAGGCGTGCGGGCGAGCGCACACACACACACACACAAAACCCCAAACTCCTGTATCAAGAAATATTATATCCAAAAAAATCTTACTATAAGCATACAATTTAATGATCTTTAGTAAATTTATAAAGTTGTGTGACAACACCACAAACTGCCCTTCAAATATTTCCATCATCCCCATAAAATTCCTACAAACCAGTCTATAGCTAATTCCTGACACCACCACCCCCACACTAGCAACCACTGACCTGCTTCCTGTGATTATTTTTACATCTAAAATATTTCCCAGGTATGCTAATCACTTGCCTTAACTTAGTGGAATCTCAAATCTCTTCAGCCACAGTTCTAAAACATATCAAAAAGTGCCTGCTGCTAAGCAYAGTAGTGCACCTATAATCCCAGTAACTCAGGAGGCTGAAGCAGGAGGATCACAAGTTGGGGCCAGCCTCAGTAACTTAGCAATACCCTGCCTCAAAAACTAAAAAGGGCTGGGGATGTGGCTCAGTGGTAAAGTGCTCATGGGTTTCCTCTTCAGCACAAACCAGATGACCAATGTCCTCTGTTGAATCTGAAGCACCTTACGGGGTCTCACAGTAATACAAGTGCACACTCTGCTACCTATCAGTGTTGAACTTCCAGGTTTATGGAAACCTTTCCCAGATAATTTAGGTAAGGTCTCTTTGGTACTCATTTTTCAAAGTTCCTGGTTATAAAAATCCTAAAATGGCTGAAATAAGAAAAGTTCCAAACTTAATGTTTAACTGGAGGCTTCTTATTAGTCTAAAATTACCTGAACCAGTGGCCAGGATGAAAATATAAATGAAATTCATAGACCAGATTTCGATAATGAACTTCCAATTTATTATATCAGAAGATCCTGGTGAAACAATCACATTTTAGGATCTCTGCCTTTTAAAATACTTGGGTTGTGGCTCAGTGGCAGARCGCTCACCTAGCACGTTCGAGGTGCTGGGTTTGATTCTCAGCACCACATAAAAATAAATAAACAAATAAAGGTATTGTGTCCAATTACAACTAAAAATATTAAAAAGATAATTTTTTTAAAATTACAGAATCTGAAGGAGAGAAAAAAATATTTTTATCTTTTAGGAATCCATGAAAAGCAAAGCCTCTGGAAATGCATTACTTTAAAAATTGAATATGATGGATTACATAATTTCCTAATCTGTTTCCAGATCAATAAAGCAATTTTCTAAAAAAAAAAAAAAAATCCATGGCATCTTTTCTATCTACACTAGCAAATGAAGCATAATGTCTTATTTTTAGTCTGGCTCATTGCTAAGTATTCTTTAAAAGCAGGGGTCAGTAAACTAAGGCTTGTGGGACAAACCCATTAACAGCCCACAGACTAAAAATTAAATGGGTGAAAAAGAAACATTGAGAGTATTTTGTGACACATGAACATTATCTGAAATTCGAATATTAGCTGAGCATGGTGGTGGACACCTGTAAGAGGCTGGGGCAGGAGGATCACAAGTTCTAAACCAGCCTCAGCAACTTAGCAAGACTCTGCCTAAAAAAAAAAAAACAAAAAAAAACACGTTTGGGGATGTGGTTCAGTGGTAAAGTGCCTTTGGGTTCAATCCCTGGTATCAAAAACAAAAGAAAACATCAGTAGTCATAATTAAACTTTTTTGGAATAAAGCAACACCCACTTGTTTATACTTGGCTACCTTTTCACTACAATGACAGTCTGAGTAGCTGCTACATAAACTTGCAGATTTGAAAATTCAAAATATTCACTAGCTCACTCCTTAGAGAAACAWGTTTGCCCTGCTTAAAAATATACTGATAGTGAAAAAGCTTTTCATTTGAGGCAGCAGTCTTTTCTCAGAAAATCGGAAACTTGGCTAGCAGTCGGGTTTTAAAGATCAACAGGAAAATCTGACAAGATCATTTTAATCCCACTCCTCTTTTCTTCCTGGACTTCTAGCTAAAATCCTTAATTTTTATAACCAGTTCAGCTAGTTGCAGATCAACTACATAAAGATTACACAAATAAATAATGTATACCCAGCTGTTGCTACTTCTCTTTCTACCCCCAGGGACTTATTATAGCCTAGGTAGGTACTTGAACTCTGAAATCAGACTCCCTGGGTTCATCTCAGCTCTCCTTAATAGTTTGTCAATCCTGGGAAAATTACCCTCTGCTACCTCATCTATAAAATAAAGATAACAATATCCATCTTTGAGTGACTGAATTAAATAGAAATACCATATCATAAGAACAGTGACTGGCACACAGTGAATGCTAAATAAAGGTCAGTAAAACTGGATCACCTTCTACAACATATCCCATTYCAACTTCCCACTATCACAGATGAGGAAAGCAAGGCTTATAAAAAATATGAAACAGTAATAATTAAGTAGCTTCACCTTCTATTAATTACAGCAATGATAATAGAAATTACCAGCAGGAGGAAAGCTAGAAACATTCTGAAGCATCTCAAATTCTTAGTGTCACAATTCTAAGTCTTAAAATAGGTAACAGCTCTCCYTATAATTAATAATCCAGTTTCATTTCAACACTGGCAAGTGGAATTCGCCAAAGAGGACACTATTTCCCAGCTCTAAAAATATCAGGGAGAACAATAGGTATCTATTTGCAACTCATAGGACTTTCTAATGGAAAAACACCCAGTTCACAGACCTTTCCTTAGTAAAGGAATTAACCCCTGGGACATTTCCAAGGAATACACACTCCACCAAACATCACTATTGGACAGGCCAGAGGGGATTTTCTAAGGTATCAGGAGAGACAAAGGCAACTAGAATACTCTGTAGCAGGGAACCTCAGAAGAAGGAGCCTAGTACAGAAAGGGTTAAAGAAATATGATCTTTCATTCCTCTTTTGCAATTATTCTGATAAAATGGAATCATAAGGAAGTGTGTTTTATATCTAGTTTCAGTCTCCTCTTTAAAACAAGGAATAAAACCCAAAGAACTTCTAACAGTGCTGGGTTAATTACTATAGTAAACACTTAATCCTACTGCAATTCCACCATTTTCATACTGACTTGTAATTAAATTCTATTGAAAAGTTAYATGTGAAAATAGTTTAAAACCATAAAATCAGTTTTCTAGTTTTTGTACAAAATATTTATCAAGACAAGATTTCAGTGACACAAAAAAGCYGTGTTATCCTCTTGCAAATACTGGATCAGTTTACTTTGCTGTGTCAAATGATGTCCTGCTTGTGGGACCAGGTCTTCATTTGACAGTAATTACTAAGCATGTTTTTGTTCTTCCCTCCTAAAATTGCTTTTTATTGGGGGGAAGCGATTGTTTTGTTAAGCAATTTCCAAGTTTACTATATTTCTAAAATACTGACTGCTTAATCATCTTTAGAAAATAAGACCAGTCATATAACTCAGCAAGTCATGAGTCAGCAAACAATCTGAGTCGGTAATCTCCCCCAAAACCTCCTGGCAAGGCAAATTCATGATCTCTCATTTGTTGAGATGCAATACAAAAAGCTTCTAATTGGCTGGACCGGAGTATAATTTAACTGTCTGGTTTCCTGATTCAGGTGTCAAATATAGCACATTCATATCAAGGTTTATTTCCTACATTACACACAGGATTATCAGGGAAATTAATATGGATTTACATAGCTATTAACTATAAAACCTAAAAATATTTTATGGCCACAAACATCTTATGAATATATTCAGACCTATCTTCATATTTCACAGACTGTTTTTTGGAGGGTAGAATCAAGCTTAATTTTTTTTTTTAACAGAATTTTTGGCCTTATTTCCTTTTACTTTTTACTGTTACTAAACCTGCTTCTTTCTTCCTTCTACTTAAATAGGGGACAGAAAAGAGTCTCACTATGTTGCCCAATCTGTTTTGAAACCTGTAGGCTTAAGTGACCCCCTTGCCTCAGTCTATCAAGTGGCTGGGACTACAGGATTATGCCACTGCACCAGGCTGAACTTTGCAGGGAAAAGTTAATATTAATCCCAATTTACTTAATTTCCTTGTATAAATAATTTGAGATTTCATCTTATTCCTTTCCTAAGGATAAGATGGTTACAGAGATAAAAATCTTTTAAGTCTGTATTTGATGTAATGAGGTGTTTAAAAAAAAAGATAGTTCTTTCAAAAGAGTGTACATTCTACCTAGTATTCCTAGTAGCCCAAAGCTTACATACCCAGAAAGGTAACAGGGATATATGGAAAATATTTTGTGTGCCAAATTTCATAGTTCTGCTTTGATGCTAGCTATAAATGCTCCAGGTCTGTTTTCACTCCAAGAGCATCTGCCCAGTTGCAACTCAAAGCCTCTTCATTTTCTAGGTCTAATCATCAACACCAATCTATTTCAGAATGCTGCTTTACTTCCTTATTTCCTCTTTCTCATTTCTCACAGCTCCATTTTGAACTCTCATATTATACCCATTTCACACTTTACTAATATTTAACTCTGTATCGTTACTCAATTTCATTTGTCTGACTTTTTGGTAAATTGCAGGCTTGTGTCAAGACCAAATTCTTTGTAATTTCCTTCTTACCTAATCCAGTACAACTATGCAATAAACTTTCAGGAAAAAAATCCACCAAAGCATTTCACATCTGGTACAAGTATGTATCCTGGAAATACTGCATGCCTTTTGCTTCCTCTTTGTTGGAATGCAGCTGCAACCCTTTATATGTTGCTATGCAAATGCATATATCCATTACCCCAGTTACTTCACCAGTAAGTCTATTAACTTTTCCAAAACACAAGGTTAACCCGAGGTTACTTCAGGTTTTCCATCTATCAAAGAGACCTGAAATAAAAATCCWCGAATTACCAATGGGGCTTTGTAAACAGAAAAAGTTTAAAAATAAATGAGCAGTATACCTTCCCTGACTCTCCTTGAAAGGATTAGTAGGTGTCAGGATTAAATAGATCTTTGTAGAATTTTAGTTTCCCACTCCCGCTGGTGTTAATACTACCTACCCGCGCAGGGGTGAAGAAAAAGGGGGGTGCAGAATGACGCCTATCTTCCCACCAGSGAGAGGCAGGAAGGCTGCTGACCCCCAGACACTACTCCGGGTGGGCTCCGCCGACTGCAGGTGAAGACCTGTCGGGCCCCCACCGCCAGCCGGCCCAGCTGATCGCGGCCACGTGATACCGCCAACCAATCCGGAGGCGCAGGGCGGCGAGCGCGGAGGCAGCGGGGCCTCCTCCGGCACAACAAACACAGGCCGAACAGCTGGGCGGGCGCGGGCTCCCGGGGCCTGCAGCACCGGCAGGCTGCCCAGCAGTCACCCCACGCCCAGGGATCTGCAGGACAGGGGGGTAGGGGAGGCGGGCGCTCACGCCGCGGGGCACAAAACAGGCGCCAACCCCGCCCGACGTGGGCAAAGCCCCACGGGCAGAGCGAAGGGCGCTTCCCGGGCCAGGACGCTCCGCGGCGTCACCATGGTCCGGACAACTCAGCGCTGAGCTCAGCCTCCACGTCGGGCGGGGTGGGAGGCGGCCGGGAGCGCAGGCCCACAGGGCCGACCCCGGCACGGAGCCCGGGCGCGCCCCCGACGCTGCGGCGGGCACGGCGGCCSGTGGGGGCGGGGCGGCCGAGGCGGTGGCGGGCGGAGTGGGGGTGTAGTCGCGGGACACACCATCCTTGGAGGGCGCGGGGAGTCTGGTGGTGCGTGSGGGCCTCTGAGGCGGACTCGTGGAGGGCGCGGCGTTAGGCTCCCACGGCCAGGGMGAACGGGGATGCGGGCGCGCGGAGGGGTCGCGGCTGATATAGTCTAGCCGGTCGCCCAGCTGCGCGGCGGGGGCGGGCCGATGGAGGCGGAGGCGCCTGGGCCTCACAAAGAGGAACGGTCCGGCCCGCCCCGCCCCGCAGCCCATCGCCGAGGCCCTCCTTGAGGGGTCGGGGGTGGCAGCACCGGGACCCCGGGACGAGTACGGCGAGAAAGAGGCACTTCCTGCCTCGGCCCCCGCCCCAGGGCCGTTCTCCGAGGGTTTCAAAGCCTCCAGGCTTGGAGGGACTCTTCAGGCCCCAAGCTCAGTCCCCTCCGAAGCACTCACCCTGAGCGGCGGTGAGATCCGCGCTGCCAGCGGCYCTTCGCTCTTCAGCTGGGACGAAGCCCCTCAGCCAACCGAGTCTCCAGGTTTAGGCAGGCCTTGGCCCCGCCTCTCCCTGGTTGGGCCTCAGCGTCAATCACCCGGTGTAACTCCGCCCCCCCTGCGGCTGGCTCTCCCGGTTGGCCCAGAACGCCCTTCATTTCTAGGYCCCGCCCCTCCCCCTGGTACCCAGCCCCTTCCGCTGGGCCCCGCCCCTTCACCAACTCACCCTCCCCCACTCCTGCTCCTCTTCACTTGATGGCCCACCCCTCCCAGAAGCCGCAGATCGAGGGCTGGGTCACTGCAGATCGCCCCGCCCCTGGTCCAACGACTCGGACTCGTACAGCCAATCAAAGAGGTTAGCCCTGYCCCCTCTCTCTAAGTGGCCAATGTGGTTAGACTGAGGATCCACCCCTCTCCCAGCTGAGAGCACACAACACAGCATCCACGTGAGTCAGCTTCTTAAAGGAGTCGGCTCAGCCTTTCTATTTGCGGCAGCTGGGACTCATCAAGCGTCATCAGCGTCACCAGGTGGCGGCTGAGGCCTAGCTTCCTGATGCCCAATGAGGTCCAGTGTTGGCAAAAGAAAACAACGGGCTGTTTTCTAGACGAAGCAGGTACTAGGTGGCTACAATCCCTTGTGTTATTCATTTCTTTAAGGCCACTTCCTCTTCGCACCACCTTTACAGGGGGATATGTTCTACTTACAACTCCACATCCTTTGAATCTGAGCATATAGGAACTCCTGGAAACATCTGTGGAAAAGGGGGTTTTTAACTTTACTACAACTCCCTGAGTTTTCTCTTGGTAATGGAAGAGAGTCTCAAAAAGTTGAGCAAATTCAGTCATCTACTAGATTTTCTACTTCATGAGCCTGAGATTTGTTTGTTGAAAAGGGTAGCTGTTCCCTAAAACTTCAGTGCTTAAGATGGAAAGTTTTGCTTCCCAACCGAATTTCCCAGGTAATTACATATTTGTTGGCTGACTTTGAGAGTAATGCAAAAATTTTTGGTGATGCCTTTTTCTCAAAAAATGTACAGACCAGCATTTGAGGTTAATTTACAAGGTGTTAAAGTTCTTGGTGAGATAAAGATTCTGAAGCAAATTCTAGCTCTTGACTCCTTGTCAACCCCCAAATCCACCAGTATTTTCGTTCAGTTCTGACAAAATATATTTGAAGATCAAAGACAAAAACTAGTTATTGTTGGATAAGTGAGTTTTCCAAGAGATAAAGCAGTTTTAAATGTATTTTAGGGTTTTATTTTTTCCTCATTACTCCTTTGTTTTTATTTTGCTTTAATTATAAAAATAACACTTTTTCCCAGGAAGTGCATACTGCATCATTTCATGTCCTCTGCTAACAACTTTATGTATATCCTCCTATTCTCCCCAGAATGAATGTGCATGAGAGCATATTGTGCTTATTCTTATTTAATTTTTTTCTTATTATGGCCATCCTTTCATGTCATATGTACCTTTTGTTTACATATTAACCCTTGTCTCTCTACAGTTTTCATAGATAACAACATCTAAAATACATATTTTTACTAATCTCATACTATTTTAATCTCATACTATTAAAAATACTGCTGTAATAAACACTCCTGTTCATTGGTAAAATATTCAACTATTTCTGAATATAATCATTTGAAAAGGAAATATAGTGCCTAAACCCACAGGAAAGAGTACTTTAAGCACCAGGTAAAATAATGGTTCAATTTTTATTTATTATTTATTGGATACATATAAAATACTTTCTGTTCTAAGTGTTTTAAAATTATAAACTCGTTTAAGTTTGACAACTCTATGATGTAAGTACTGTTGCCATCCCATTTTATAGTTGAGTTAACTGAGGCACAGTGATTACTTAACTTGTCCAAGGTCACCCAAGTAGAGTTACTGAGTACAGTATTTGTAAACTTGGAAGAAGGTGAAGAAAATCATATTTTAGAAAGTTTAATCTAGATGATGGTGATGTGCAGAGGTATAGTCCAAGTGTGAGGTAAGAAGGGTGGATAGGAATGGAACTGAAGGGACCAGTTTAACAAGGATGGCTGCAAAGGACTGAAGATAGAATTTTCAAAGATAAACCAGGGGTTTTATTGTAATGATTGGTTGGGTGATGGTTTCCTATTGYTAGATCCAAGGAGTTTGGAAATGTTGATTAGGGGTGAAAAATGATGGKCCTTAGCTGATGGCAGTACATCCACTGGAAATAAAATGTACAATTAAAGGTAATGTAACAGCTGGGTGTGGTGGCACAAGCCTGTAATCCCAGTGGCTAGAGAGGCTAAGGCAGGAGGATCACAAGTTCAAAGCCAGCCTCAGCAAAAATAGAGGTGCTAAGAAACTCAGCTAGACTCTGTCTCTAAATAACATACAAAATAGGACTGGGAGGCTGGGGTTGTGGCTCAGAGGTAGAGCGCTCGCTTACCATGCGTGAGATACTGGGTTTGATCCTCAGCACCACATAAAAATAAAGATATTGTGGCCACCTATAACTGAAAAATAAGTATTTTAACAAAAAAAGAAAATTGGACTAGGGATGTTGTTCAGTAGTCAAGAACCGCCCTCCCCCCCCACAAAAAAAAAAAGGTAATGTAAGAAATAAAGAGGCTTGAAAAATTCCTATTAGGCTTTTGGGTAAAATCATTTTATACCTGTAAAGTATAAAGCATTGATATTTTATTGAAATTTTATAATACTAAGACTTTCCCACCAAGAACATGGTGCATTTCTCCATTATTCAAAGGTTTTTCTTAAATATCTTTTGGAAAAATCTCAAGGTATACCTGCTTTTCTCTAGACTGTTAATGTCATTTTTAGGATTATGTTGCAGTACTGTATGTTTTTTGAGGATGTTATGGGCTAAAATGTGACAATCCCCCCCAAATTCATTTGTTGAAATCATGACTTGGAACCTCAGAATGTGACTATTTGGAGGTAGGCCCTTTAAAAGATGACAAAGTTAAAATGAAGCCATTAGGGTGGACCCTAATTCAGTAGAACAGATATCCTGATACAAGGTTAGGAYGTGCAGAAACCTGAAGGCCCTGTGAAGATACACCCAAAGGCAAGCCAAGGAGAGAGGCCTCAGGAGAAACCAACCCTGCTGACACCTTGATCTTGGACTTCTAGCCTCCAGAATTGTGACCAAATAAATTTCTGTTTAAGCCATGCAATCTGTAGTATTTTGTTGTGGCATCCCTAGCAAATTATAACATAAGGGGTTGCTGTAAATAGGAACGTCTCATATATAATAACTCCTACTTGTTATTTGTTTTGCAGGAAAGGTAATAATTTTGTAGTTTATTTTTCTGGAAAGAAAAACTTCCTTATCTGCAAATTATCTTAATTTTGCTGCCTACTTTCTAGTCATTTTGCCATTTCTTTTAAAATCCTTTTTCACATGTCTTGACTACATGGGTAAATATTTCTATCAAACAAATTCTAGGAATTTGTAATTTTTCTCTTTTTTGAAAGAATAATGAGTGTGCAACTTTGTCATTTCTTACATTTTAGTACCTACTGATTCAACCATGTCCCCCCACCACATTCTGTTTTTCATAGGCTGTACCATAATAACTCATTTCCAACATTAAACAGCTTTGCATTCTGGGGTAAAAGCTCCTTCGTCATTGGCACGTGCTGACTGACATTCTTTGAGTGCAAAAGTCAGAAATAAAGCTATCTTTATCTATCCATCCATCCATCCATCCATCCATCCATCCATCCATCCATCTATTCCTTCATCCTTTATTTTGCTTACTGAGGGTATTTCCTGTGTGAAATTGCCTGCTATGACCCCACTAGACAACTCCATTTAATAATTGCAGACTCCTGTGTGTCTTTCTGATGATGCTTCTTCACTCTGCTTTACCTTCCTTTCTTTGAAGGACTCTCAACMGGTGCTGATCCTGTAGAGGTGAGATCACCTTTCACATATGAGCAGCCCTCAGCCTCCCCTTGCTTCCTCACACTTCCCATAGCCTAGTCAATTCTTGTCCCTCAAACCCTGGAACACTAGGACAGCCACTCCCATCTGCTTCTCTCCCTGCAAATAGTCAAGCCTCATCATTTGGGGTCTCATTGTTAGGTAGYGAGTCAGCAGTGACTGGGTGAGCAGGGAAAGGACAGTGAGGGTGAATGAAAATAGTAGGGAGCCTTACCTGCCAGG